TGTGTGTGTATGTGTGTGTGTGTGTGTGTAGTATAAAAAGTGGTGCTAGCGGTTCCTGTAGACAGCAACCTTTATTAATAGCTGAACAGGACCAGCAGCCTCGTTGTGTATGTTCTAGTTTGTGAAAGAGTGTGTGTAATTATTCTTAAAATGACAGCAGGTAGAAATTGTGTGAGAAAAGTAAAGTAAATGGAATAAAAGTATAGGAATACAGTATATTTTCATTCAAGGCCATTTGCTTTCTCCTCTAAATAATTAGCTTCATTTTCTGCATGTTCTTGATATTGCTGGATTGTGTTCAGTGTGTGGGTCTTTGTTTCCCTGTTCCCTCTTTCTTCAAGACCTTTGCAGTCATTGGATGAGAATGTGAAACTGTACATGTATGATGACTATGTTTTTTATTGTAAGTCGTCTCCTCTTGAAACAATTTCAGTTGCAATGAAATGGATGAAGAAGAAGCAGATGAAGATACATACTGATGGAGTAAGAATATTTTAAAGATATAAAGTCAGTCCTTCAAGTTCAAAAGAAACAAATGCACCCGGCTCAAGTTCGATGATCCACCCTCACATCTGCTGTGTGTTAAGGCCCAGATACACCGGCCAGTCACCTGAGAAGTCGCCGACACCGACACCGACTGTTGCGTCGCCGGACTCTCCTTCGTATTTGCCGACTTCGTGCACTGGAACACACCGCAAATCCGAGCCGAGCACGTATGAACTGCGCATGCGTGAGTGGCAATAACTCTCCTTACCAGCAGGCGGCGGTAGTGTGTATTCATCATTCAAAAGAGGCAACAACCGGAACAACCGGAAGACAGAGAAGAAGAACAGATTCCGTGATATAAACAAACAACAAATAGCGTTTTTCTTTCCATTTTCACTCTCGTCCATTGAAAACATGAACGAACAGGAGCTCTATAAACCGATGAGGTGAAATAGCCGTACGTGTGTGTTCCATCTTCCATTTGAAATCATTTGTTTACCTCCCTCACTTCCGTTAACGCTTCTCATGCACTGATTCGCTAGCTGAACAGCCAATCAGTGTTATCCCCTTGTCCGACTTCCGGTGGTGTTCCCGACGCCGATTCAACATGTTGAATCAACATGTTGAATCGGCAAGATTCAGGCGTCAGGTCGACAGAAAAGACCCGACGGTGCGGCGCACACCACTCCGAATAGGGCGTGCCCACGCTCATGTTTGGCCCGACTCCCATTTACTGCCGATTTCGGGCCGGTGTATCTGGGCCTTTAAAGGCAGAGAGTGAAATTCAGCGAATACATGTAGTTTACAGAGATGCTGTATGAGAAACCAAAGTGATTCTAGTAGACCTCAACAATGGAATTACGATCAGTGGAAATGGCCATGAAATGGGACCTTTAAATGAAAGACACGATTGTTTAGTTTCAGATATATGTGTTTAAATGTGTTTGTGGAACACTGATCAGCAAGTTGTTATCACATGTGTAAATGATAAACTGAGTCACAAAATTGTTTAACTTATTTTTTATGAAGAAATGTCAGGTTTTTCATTATGTTTTCTGAAAGGATAGTTCATTCAATTTTTACATTTTCAGAATGCACTTTTGGTACTAAACAAATGGAATAATTTGAAGTCGTCGTTATTTATACGTTATTATGCTATGATTTTACTGGTCCGGCTCATTGAGATCATGTATGTATATGTATGTGGCCCCTGAAGTAAAATGAGTTTGACGTCCCCGGGTTAGAACCTTCACATACTCATGGATTGTTTTACGAGCTGCTATTTTAACACTTAATGTGATGGGAAATAGGTCTTGTGTATATTGAATGTTTAAATATTTAGCCATATCTGAAGATCACTCATCTCCCACATTTCTACATGCCTCCCATTAAACTGACCAAATGTTGCACTCTTTATGCTAAATGGACTGCATTTATAAAGTGCCTTTTCAGTCTTTGCAACCACTTAAATCTCTTTTACATAAACAGATCAGCATTCACCAATTCACACATTCATATTTTAGGAGCAGTTCTGGGTTTGGTATCCTGCCAAAAGACTGGTTCCATATAGTGAGGCTCTTTTGTAGAAAATGGTATAAAGCTTATTTGAATGACTTTAACTGTTGATAGCAATGTGAGACAGGAGAGACAAACAGCTTCTATCTCTGATTACACAAGGCATATGTTGCTCACTTCTCAGCTAAAAACTCAACAAGAAAACCATTTGAAACAGCTAATCTTAACACTGTTTCAATAGTGAAACACTGCCACTGCCCAGCTGTTACTGTGTTTGTGTGAAGGCAAAACATCCCAGAATAAGGCACACAAGATAAAAGCTAGTTTTTAACTAAAGACAATAGTAATCAAGATGAGTGGACATTCGCTTTTCCTCTGTGATCAGTGTGTGAGTTTGTTTTTTGAGTTGGTAGACTCAAAAGGTACTTAATAAATGCAGTTAATTTTATCAAATGGAGTCAGATAATTTGTGAAACTTATCACAAACCTGAAAATAGACTCAGACGTTAGTATAAAGTTTTACTTCCTACCTGTAGCAGTAGTTGGGTGCTGACCACACGGTGAGCACCGTCTCGTTGAAGTGCCACTTGTAGCCCTCCATCACCAGCTGGTGCGCTCGACAGATCATGTGGATGTCGTTGGCGGCGTTGAACTGGGCCACCACGTCGCTGCCAAACAAATAGCCGGCACCTCTGGGACTCACCCCCCACCCTGTGGTGTCTGAGGGACGGGAGATCAGAGGTCAACATGGCAACAGGGTTAAGACGACAACGTTTTTCTTTTTGGTTACGTTACATTTCATTTAGCTGACGCCTCTATCCAAAGCTACTTAAAATAAGTGCATTATACAATGAAGAAACTAAGCAAGAATCCTGCAGGTACATCCCTCATCTAGAAGCCCAACCAGATTTAGTGCTACTGCATTAGCTTCACTTAAGGAAAACTTTTTATAGTGCTACGTACACAAGAGACCCAGACTGAAGAGACGTTCATGTTCAGTAAACACCCCACTGGTGAATGCCCGAAGCTTCCAAAACAAGTGTCCAAATGAGACTACTAAACGTCATTACTAGGGATGTAACGATATACCGAATATCGCGGTAAATAAACTTCCCAATACCGTCGTGAGACTGACAAAATCTACCGCGATTTAAAAAAAAAAATATATATATTTTTTAAACCTTTATTTAACCAGGTGGTCCCATTGAGATCATCGATCTCTTTTTCAAGAGAGACCTGTCCAACATGGCAGCAAGTAGGTTACAACATGAAAATAAAACAACAGATAACACAAAAGGACATCGTATTTACAGGGCTACATTTACACACCTAGAGACATTGACAAGTACCAACCATATATTTATATCTCCCCATGTCAATAAGTCTGGCGTTAGACTTTTTCCGCTGTCCGTCATTTTGACAGACAGGATCGTAAAATATCCGTCATAATCCCTTATTACCCGTCGGGTCTGAACAGTTCACGATAGAGCATGCTCGTGAACTGTCAACGGGGGGGGGGCGGTGTTATGCCGTGTGTGCATGCACCTCGCGGGACGAGCACAGCGTAAAGCAAAACCTCCCAGACATGTATTGATCTGTAGAGCATAGTATGGTTTGGAAACTATATCATTTCCTTTTGGAGGGCATGCATAACACGGCACAAAAAAATGTTTTATTGAAAAAAGAAATTTATGAATTTTTTTCTTCTTCCCTTTATTATTCAATATCGCGATAAATACCGTACCGTGGACTTGTTATCGCGATATTATCGTACCGTGAATTTTTGGTATCGTTACATCCCTAGTCATTACACCAGTCTAGTCTGTCTAGTTTAGTGGTGGTGACAACCAGCCATGTTGACCTGTGATGCCAACTCCATTATATTGCTGTATATCCAAATACTAACTGTGCTCTTCACGATTAGATAGTTTCTTTAAACGTTCACCAAGATGTGTGTTAACAGGGCGCATGGGGGGCCTGGATACCTTCAGGGTCCGACCACAGCAGATCACACATTGGCCCGTCGTGGGGAACTTCCTGTTTTCTGTCAATGGTCCGGATCTGGTCCAGTGTCTGGATGGAGGGAGACAAGCCCCCGTGCACACAGAAGATCTGACAGGAAAGAGAGGAGAACATGAACCAAACATGTAACTAAAACTGAGATCATAGTATACATGCCAGCGGAGTTAACCCGGAAATGTTGAGAACCCCAACGTTTTATGATGGCGATCGTATGCATCATAAGCACATAGAAACTGCCGGATACTAACTTGCAAATGTCGGGCAATTAGCACAAGTTGAATGTATTAGAATATGCAGACAATAGTTAAATATGGCTTAGCCAATTTTGACAACTTTTGAGTGGTTTTTGAGGCTGTTGAATCAATTTCTGACATTTTCAGGATCAATAATCCCTTAAAACCTTAAAATTGACCAAAATTCATCAAAATCAGCTAGCCCGGAGGTACAAATATTGCCACTTTCAGGATTAAATTGCCATTTTTGATCCTGAAAATGTCAGAAATGGAATCGGCATCCTCAATAACCTGAAAAACACTCAATTGTCCAAATCGGCCAGGGATTTTTTTAAATGATTGTCTGCATATGCTCATTAGTGCAAAACGTTGTACTCAACATTTCCGGGTGCACAAAAGGACTATGAGCTGGCACCTAGACTATCAGAGTAGAGATACATCCACACAAACAGTCATGTCATTGTTGTCAGTTTGAAAGGAAATGTGTCACATGGTATCTCACCTTGCCATCGATAATAGCGGAGAGGGACAGGTAGTCGAATATCTCTGTGCAGTATCTCCAGACGGTGACGGAGCCGTACTTGCGGAGGCACTCATCATAGAAGCCGTACACCTGGGTGATCTGACGGGACTCGTGGTTCCCCCGAATCAAGGTTATCCTGTCTGGGTAACGCACCTGAGGAACAAAGCAGCAGCAATGAGACGCAGACAAAGGGGGAACAAAATAACCCAACTGCTGTGATGTACAGGTAAAGGGAACACTAAGATCGCTAAAACAAAAAGAGAAAACGGTCCCATGTACCTTAAGAGCTAGCAGAAGGAGGAAAGTCTCAACACTGTAGAAGCCTCTGTCCACAAAGTCTCCCATGAAAAGATAATTTGTCTCGGGGACGTCGCCACCAACCTGCCAAGTGGAGAAAATAAAAACAACAAGTTAAAAAGTGGGATACTAAGAATCTTACTAAATAATACCTCCAATCTGGTTGATGATAAAGAAAAACAAGCTCCATTCAACAAGTGCATGTCACAATCATGTTAGATCTGGGCGCTCTAATTCATAAAAATTCCTATCTATTTTAAGACATCTCAATGTCTGCAGTAAAACGTTGTTAAATCACATTTTAGTTGCCTTTTGTTAGCTGATATAAAGGATTTAAAAGTTAAATTGGTATTTGATTAATGCTGTCAAAATTATCGCGTTAACGGCAGTAATAAATTTTTTGAATTAACTGCGTTAAAAATATTTAACACATTTAACGCATGTGCAGAATGGCCCGCCCCATACATCCCACCAGTGGCAGCGCTGGGGTAGGCTACAGCCATACCAAGAAATGGCTTAGCCCCACCATGAAAAATGATGTTAAAGTAAGCAAAATAAAGTCCGCCAACTCGCGCCGAGTAAACTGCACAGACAGCAGTTAGTAAGATTGATTTCAGCAGCCACTTGTCTGGAAAAATGTGTAATCGTTTGACAGCCCTATATATGATATATTTTTTATACGCCATGATGATACAAGAGAAATAATCTCACGTAGACTGATATCAGAGGCCTGTACTACGAATCCAGTTCATTATTCCCTGGATATGTTTGAGTTACCCGGCTTATCTAATCCAAAACAAACGCGCTCTTGCTAAGCGGTCCTACGACGCTGGTTATCAACTCGGTAACTCAAGCCAGGGGTTCTCTGTCTGGCTGAGTGCGCGTTCACATGAAAGGG